GTTTTATGGGACTATCCCATGTTTCCCAGCACAATTTATTAAAGATATAGCTTTCCTCCACTATTTGGTCCTAATTCCTTTGTCAAAAAGTAGCTGTCCATTTTTCTATGGCTTTTTCTGTGAATGGGCAGTTCTGTTCCATTCGTCTTAAGTTTTTTCCAATACCATACTGTTCTGATTACTATTGCTGTGTGTTACTACTGGAAGTTAGTACCTCTGAGACCTCTGTTTTTCTTTTCGTTCAAGATTGTTTTAGCTACTCAGGGCCTTTATGGGTTCCATTCAAGTTGACAATTGTTTAATCTTCTTTTAAAAAGTTCTTGTCATTTTGAAAGGTATTACATTAAATCGGTAAATTGCTTTGAATGACATGGCCATCTTGATGATGATTTTTCCTACCCATGAGCACAGAATATCTTTCCATTTCTTTATCTTTTATTTCTTTTACTAGAGTTTTATAGTTTGCCTGCTTCACTAGGTTTATTCCCAGGTATTTCATTTTTTTTTGGCATCATTGTAAATAGAACTATATCCATTGTTTGCATAGAGTGATGTCACTGATATTTGTGTATTGATTATGTCCTGCTACCTTAACTGTATTTATTATTTCTGGGTTTTTCTAGAATCTTTGGTTTTTCTAAGTATATTACTCTGCTATCTGCAAATAACGACCATTTCACTTCTTTTCTAATTTGAATTTCTTTTGTCTTTTTTTCTTGAGTATGATGTTGGCTGTAGTTTGGTTATATGGCTTTTATGATATTATTTAAGCTCCATTTATTTCCATTTTTGGTGCGTTTTTACCATTAATGGGATGTTAGATCTTGTCAGATGTTTTTATATCTATTGAAATGACCATGTGACTGCTTTGTTGATAGACTTACATGTGTTAACCATTTTTATATACTGAGATAAAGGCAACCTAATTGTGATGGGTGATTCTCTTGCTGTGTTGCTGTATTTGGTTCTTAGAATTTTGTTGCATCTATTCTTATTAAGGATATTGGTCTATATTCTTCTTCTTTGTACTCTGCTTTGGGATGATATTGGCCTCAGATTCTTAGGCCATATACTGGTTCCTCCCTTTGCAATTTTTTTATAGAATTATATAAGATAGGTATTAGATCTTCTTTATAGTTAAGTAGAATTCACTGGTGAAGCCATCTGGTTCTGGGCTTCTGTTCTTTGGGAAGTTTTTATTACTTTTTTAATTTCAACAACTTGTACTGTTTAAGCTGTGCATTTCATCTTGGTTCAATCTTGGAAGGTAAATGAGTCCAAGAATTTGTCCATTTCTTCTAAGTTGTCCAATTTGTTTGTACAGGGACATTCACTGTATGGTTCTGTGTATTCTTCTTGCCTTCTACTGTTTTGGAGGTGCTTTTGTTCTGATTTCTTCAACTGTGGAGTTAGATTGTTAAATTGGAATCTGTCTCTCTCTTTTTAATGTGGGCCTGTATTGTTATGACACTTTCTGCATAAAACTGCCTTTAAAGCATCCCGTAGGGTCTAGTATTTTGTCTCTTCATTTTCTGTAATCTTTAGCTGTTTTCTCCTCTATTCTTTGATTTATTTATTGATCCAAGTGTGTTCAAAAGAAATAGAATTATTTAGTCTACACATATTTTGGTTTGCTCCAGGTCTCCTTTTGTTTAATTTTTACCTCTATAGAACTGTGGTCAAAGACTTGTTTTGTCTCCAGACATATGGACCTGTTCTTGAAAATGTTTCATGTATACTTGTATGAAAGTGTACTCATTGCTTTTGGGATGCAAAACTATATAAATATCCAGTAAATCAGTCTCAGCTAATGCTTCATTTAAGATTTTCATTTGTTAATTTTCTCTTGATTTATGCCTTTGTGTCAGTGGTATACTGAAATCTCCAACAATTGAATTGTTGTTGCTATGTTATTTTAGGCTTATTGATATCAGTAGTTACTTTGTATAGCTAGGTGAGCCTATATTTTGAGCATAAATATTAATGTGTTAGCTTTTTTGGTGAGTTGTCCCTTGATCATTATATAATGTCCATCTTTGTCCTTGATTATCTTTTATAGTTGAAAGTGTGGCTTATTGGCTGTGAGAATAGCAGTTCCTGTTTTACTGAGTTACTAGCATGTATGATCTATTCCAGCCTGTTGTTTTCAGTTATCTTTTGGTTTTAAATGGATATCTTGTAAATAGATTCTTGATGGCTGGAATTTCTGCATCAAAATTAGCTTTGTCTTTTTATTGATGAATTTACCATATGCATTTAGGGTAATTATTGATATGAATTGTTTATTTTCAGACATTTTAGTTTGGGGTGCTTGTTTCTTTTTCTACTCTTTCTGCATGACTTTTCTTAATATTTATCAATTTCTTTGCTTCTCTGTGAGTGTTTAATCTAGATTTTTGATTAGTTATTAACATGGTGGTTGGATTTGAATTCCTGTTTTAGGTCCTTTATGAGCTGGTGTCTGCTGTCATTTAACTTAACTGATTCTGCCCATTTCTTCCTTCCCCCTTAGCACATGGTGTTGACTCCGTACTCTTTCTCTCGGTACTGATGTTATATTGCTCTTATCATTTTTGCTAAGGAGTTTGTGCTTCAGTTTTTCTTATAGAAAAACTCCTTTTAGCATTAATTAAAGAGTGGGTCTGGTGATGGCAAAATCTGTTTGCTTATGTTGGTCTGAAGGAATCTTTTACCCCTAATATTTAATAGAGAATTCTTGGCTGACAGTTCTTGTCTTGTAGGTTTGAAAATATTTTCTTCTACTGTCCTGGGTTAAAGGAGAAAGTGGGACTGAAATCCTGGGATATCTTAATTTGGGAGCCCTTCTAAATTATTCCTCCCCCACCCCCACCCCCACTTCTCTTTGATCTTCTAGTGTTATTTTTTATTAGCATTATATTATTTTGAATTATTTCCTCTAGCTCCTCTATATTTGTCCTAGCACTTCTGTCCTCATTTTGTTTTTTCCCTTGTGTATTGAGATATTCCTTGCTTCCTAGGCATGTATAGATGTTTGTGCATGTCTGTGATTGGGGCACTGGGGATTTAGCTTTGTTTCTGTTCTTAGTTTGAGGTGAGGTAGAGATAGGAAGGGGTCTGGGACTCTAATTCTTAATCTAAGTTTGAGGGGTGTATGTAGTTGCCTCTACTTCTTTTGTTCCATAGCAAGCTGTTTTCTTGGACTTCAGTTGTTTTCTTTGTCCATCCTACCTCCCAGCTGTTCCTTTCTGCAGAGGGTTGTGACAAATGAGTTTGGTTCTCCCAGCGGAGAACCAAAGTCTGGATCATCAAGCTCACACTCTGGCAGTTATTTGCACTTGGTCTGGAGGCAGTGCTGTGTGTGGCAAGCACAACTGTGCCAGCCTGACATTGTGGCTGCCCACAATGGCTGTTGTTTAGCTTCTCTTTGCCGTCTGTTGGGGTAAGATATTGGGGGGGTTGGGAGGGGCGGCGGAGCTTTCCATGTACCATCCCAGTTGCAAAACCCCAATTTCTTGGGTTGGCGTCTGTGGAGTTCCACTACCCTGAATCTGCTCCCACACAAATGTCAACAGTTCCTCCAGGGAATACCCAGGGTTGCTTCCTTTGTGTCCTGGGAGTTCTAACCCCCAACCCAGATATGCTCCTCCTCAAGTCCTCCTGTTCTTTCCCTTTAGTGGCCTGCAACCTTAGTTCTTGAACTTCTTGGGTAGGGAAAGCCTGAAGTAAGCATCTGGATCTTTGTATAATCCGATTTTTTTCTTTCTCTGTAGCTCTTTTTAAGGGAGAGGATGGGTAACTCCAGCTTCTCTATTCCACCATGCTGCGGGTGGGTGTTCCGGGACTTCTACGGGTGGGCCTTAGACATGGGAAGTTTGCAGTTATTTGTTTAAATAACTGCTGTTCTTTTCTCCCTCTCTATTTGGATACCCATTAACCTTAAGTTTTTCTTCTCATGTAATTGATGTTCTTGGTGGAGCTTCTTTTTTCCTATATCCTAATTCGTTTGCATGTTCCATTTGGGCCATCACTGTATTTTTATCTTCACTTTCACAATTCTTTCCTCTGTGAGATTTAGCCTCCTTGCTGTGCTTTCCATGGTAGTCACTGTCTCTCTTAAGTTCAACATCTCTGTTGGGTTTTTTTTATAGCATTTCCTTATTTCAATATTTTGTCCTATTTCAGAGTGCATTTTATGTATTTGATTTTCTTCATGATGTTTCGTATATTCACTCAGACTCCCCAGTTCTGTATTTAAGTTCAATTTCTGAACCTGAGTTTCTGAACTCGTTCATTTTGCTCTAATTCATACATTTCCTAGGTATCTGATGTCTTTTTTTCAGTAGGTGATACTGTAACTCAGATTTTGGAATTCTCTTGTTTATTAGATTGTGTGTGGAGAGTAAGGGGGCAGCAGGGAAGCAAGTTCCTTCTGCCTCTCTGGGGAGTCTTCTGTCTCTTGTGACAGGACTAGCTCCCCATCTGAGCACAAAGTTTGTGTGTCCATTTACTCATCACCAGAGCCAGCCCAAAGACTGTGCTTTATCTCCAGTCTCTGACTCATTCGGTGTCTGAGGGGAGGGTAACGGGGACTTTGCATGTAGGGTGAGGGTCTTTACTGCAGCTCCTCTGGCCCTCCCACTGCTCGGTTTGCTGATAAGCAGGGCTGGCTTGATGGCCTGACTCTCCTCTCGGGCGGTCACTCTCCTCTCCACCCACCTCACAGCTACAGTTGCACAAGCCAGTCAGTCGTCCCCTGGTGGTAAGTGGTGGGAATTGTGTGTGAAGAGCTATGAAGGGAGAGTTTCCGCAATTAGCAAACTATTTATTTGGCGGTGTCTGTGATGTCAGAAGGTTGTTCACACTAATAAATGGCATGTGTTTTGTACAATGGAATATAAATGTATCAATAAAAATTTTTTAAAGTTTTAATATATAGTTTTAAAGAATAATGATTGGGTATGTTCACATTACATACATACTTAGTGTTACTTTTTAATATTTATGTATTAAATTTCTAGGACATCAATGCAAGCCTGAATAAGGAAAAGTTTCTTCTTCCTACATCATGGCATATCAGTTATACAGAAATACCACTTTGGGAAACAGTCTTCAGGAGAGCCTTGATGAATTGATACAGGTGGGAGACTAAAGAAAAAGTCAACATTTTTATTTCTAAGGTTCTGTAATAATTCTTGTTTTGTCCCTTTCCTGGATAAAAAGATAGAAAGTTAATTATCTTAGACTGTTTGACCTAATAAGTCCACATTCAGATGAATATTCAGCAGTTCCTTTACATTATACTACCCAGACAAAATGATGATTGGAGGATATAATTCTGTTCAGCATAAAAATTGTTTTCTCCTCAGTTATAAGCCAGGTGCATTTTTGTGTAGCTTTACATAATTCCATTTTTTGTTTTATGAACTTTGAGAGTCATTAGATTCCTTAAGCTATATTATTGAACCTGTGTGTTTTCTTAAAATTGTTACCAAAAGAGCACAAGAAAAGATTGTCAGCTTTGCCTGTTTTTTTAAAACTATTTATTTATGCATACAAGAGTTGGGATATTGGCCAGAGGTGTGGCTAGTAGAACAGGCGGATTGGGTGAAATACACTAGGGGGACAATGGGCAAAACAGGAGAAGTCTGCTGCTCCATGGCCTGGGATTGTATTCTTGCTGCCAGAGATAGCAGTCTTTTTAATCCCTGTGCCACCAAAGGAGGCCCAATGCTTTGCCTTTTGTCTGCGGTGGAAAAATAACTCTAATTCATACATTTCCTAGGTATCTGATTGTTGTCTTCTCTTTTCCAGTACGTGATACTGTAACTCAGATTTTGGAATTCTCTTGATTGTGTGTGGAAAGTAAGGGGGCAGCAGGGAAGCAAGTCCCTTCTTCCTCTCTTCTGGGGAGTGAGGGACTGAAAAAAAAAAAATCTTCCCCTCTTGTGACAGGACTAGCTCCCCATCTGAGCACAAAGCCTCTAAAGGCTTTGGTTAGCCATAGTCAAATATTACATTATTTCTGTTTGTATTTAATATTCGTGTGTAAGACGATTTATGGCCTTTACTTTTCTCAGTCTCAACAGATCACCCCCCAACTTGCCCTTCAAGTTCTACTTCAGTTTGATAAGGCTATAAATTCAGCTTTGGCTCAGAGGGTCAGGAACAGAGTCAACTTCAGGGTAAGGACATTTTCATCATTTTACAGAGTTGCACCAAATGTCACTGCACGTGGTTTTAGGACACCTACAAAATTTCCAAATTGTTTTTAAAGTTCATGCACAAAACGTCATCTGTGTTAACAACATTTAGATTTTTATTCCTTGTTTCACAAATCACCTTGTGTGTATGACTACCTTCCCTGAAGAATTACTGAGAATTCACACACCTAAAATGTCTCCAGAATTGAAGGTAAGTGATAGAATAATCCCTGGAGTTCATTTAGTGGTTTTGACTAATTTTCACCCATGTCAGGGAGATAGTCATTTCTAGAAATGTTATGTTTCCCTCCCTTTTATAACACGTCTTACAAAGACCTAGCTAGCAGGTAAATAGTGGCCAGTTCTTGTTGCATAGTGTCGTTCAGAAATATTTATTGTGCTTTAAACAGTAATCCCAAAGTGAATTTGGGACACAAAAATGCCAAGAGAAAATTGTATCATTTTTTTAACAAAACATTTCAGCATTTTACACGCAAGGCATTGTTTTGGAAACTGCAAAATAGACAAGGCCCCAGTTATGTCTTGTTTCAAAAACTATATTTTTTACTGTATTTGTTTTATTCTTGCCTTTTCCCATTCCTCCTTCCCCAATTATATAGCAAACTTGATAAATTTTAATAAGATCAGAACAATCACAAATAACTTTCTTCTGCAAAAATTACCAATGTATTTTTGCCTAATTATTTTTGATATTTTTTAAATAAATTGCAATATATAAATTATTTAGTAAGAGAATGCATATTGCACTAATGTTATAAAAAGCTTAGAAGAACTATTTTTTCCAGATGGTCCCTTAACTTTACTACCATTTGGCCAAATAGCATTTAAATCAGTTACTTTCCCAAAATTATGATAAGGGAATTTTAAATTTTTGACTTTTTTTTACAGTATTCCAAAAGGTTACTTAGTGAATATTTACATACTACTTATAAATCCTACGCAATTATGGGATCACCTCATAATAGACCCAGATTTTATCGAACTGGCAGATGTCTCTTTTTTAAGATGTATTTATTTATGCATACAGAACTGGGGTACAGGGTGGTGAGAGGATTCACCAGGAACAGAGTGGGGAGCAGCGGGCGGGTCAGGAGAGGTCTGACTCACCATGTGGTCACCTCCGGGGCAGGCGGGAATTGAACTCATGCAGAAGTGGTTTAAGCTTCTTAGTGCTGTGCTTTAAACCGCTGTGCCACCAGAGAGGGCTGCAGATGTCATTTTTAAGAGCTGTCTTTATACTTTCTCTATGCCAGGTTGTTAAATCTGATGCATAGTTTCTGATATGGATTAGTTCCTTTTGAAACCCCAATTTTTCTTCTGTTCTCAGGCACCTCTGTCCTCTACCACCACATCTACTTGTCAAGTCCTGCTAGGAAAACCTTTTAAAATCTCCACTTCCTTTCGACCCCCTTGATAATGTTATCCAAGAAGCTACCTACGTCTTGGTGTTTTCCACTACCAAAAAATCAAATCACATTACTCCTTTGCTTTTGACTACCTGATGATGTCAGGATAGGGAGCTCCTTCACTTTAGGACCTCGTGACACATGTTTCAAATTCCTTTTCATTGTCCCATCACTCCCTTGACCCATCCATTCTTCAGGAATCGCCTCTTGATGAGAGAAGTCTGCTCTACCTTTCCCAGCATCTGCCCTAGCACTTTCACCACTCTTTCCAAACATTCCCTTTTAATGTTGCAGTATGTATTTGTTCCTAGAAAAGAAACTTACTTAGAAAAGCTTGTTGCATAGGACTGTCATGTAGTCTATAGCAATTCATCTTTACCTACTCACAAAAGGAGGAAATACCTGCTTTTGTAAACATTAAATAAAAATTCAAATGTAATTCCATAATTTAGCCACATGAGGGTAGTAGGAATACAAGTTTAAATTTTCATTCAGCTTTCTTCAAGCACATATGTTGCAAAAACTAAATTTCACCATTATTTTTTTTAAAGGCTGAGAAGGAAAATCTAAAGAGTATGGTGATTTAATATACCTTATGTACTGATAGCTGTCTAAATGTTTTGTCTTAAAGGGCTCTCTAAATACATACAGATTCTGCGATAATGTGTGGACTTTTGTATTGAATGATGTTGAATTCAGAGAGGTGACAGAGCTTATTAAAGTGGATAAAGTGAAAATTGTAGCCTGTGATGGTAAAAGTAAGTGGTTACCTAATTACTGTGAAAGCAAAGCTACTTGAAATCTTGTTTTTCTAACTCTTTTAAAAAAATCTTCAAGGAATGGGACTTCATCAATTATTTTGAGACAAGGCTTCTAGTTTTTGAATTCCAGATGTCAAAATCACACTGACTTTAGGTGTAAACTACGACAACCAAATGAAGTTTTTTCTATCCTCAAACTTTTCTGCTTTCAGTTGTGAATCTGAAGTCTGAGACTTCTCACAAGCAATAACTTTTCTGACAACTCAGTTATTAAAGACTTTTACATCTGGCCAGATATGTTTTCCACAACAGACTTAGAAAGTTGTTTTTATCTTTACATTTTTTCAAATCTACTGTTACTTGGTACAAAAATCGCTTTTACCTCTTCTATCATTTGTAAAAGCATTTTGGAGGTAATCAGCTTCATAATTTATTACCACTGACTATTCAGTGCTGTATTAGGACTGTCTTAAAAATGGCTTTTCTAGGTAGAAGTCAAACAGCCTGTGAAAGTACAGAAGGCCTTCTAAGTGGTCTTCAAATACTTGTTATAGGTTCAGTATAGACCACTACTGTTCAGTAAACCTTTTTTTAAGGGGAAATACAACACTTAGCTTTTGTGAAGTAAAAATGTATTGAATGGAACTGAGAAACAATGTTTTAAGTTGCAATTTTGATCACTTAAAACATCGGTAAGAATCAAAAGTCAGTAAAGACTTTCTTACAGCAATGAATTGCTCTTCAAAAAATAGTCAAGTTTAAATCATGTCCCATGTAAATGTCACCAACAAAGTGACACAAAAATATTTTCACAAATGTGGAAAATGTCTTTTTACCTCTGCCTTTATTAAATTAAGGCATTTCTGTAGTCCATGTTATTTTCTTTTAATGTTCTTAAAATATTTGCATTTCAAATAAGTGTTACTTGAATTTACTTTTTCTCTCCTGTTTCCTAGATACTGGCTCCAATACTACAGAATGAATATAGGAAAAACAGGCTTTTTAATGCCATCTTCAGTCTTTGAAGAGAAGCACAGAAGAGACTTTTATTTATTCTAGCATTGCAGAAATGACTACACTGTGCTATACTATCAAAATTCCAGTAAAGAAGCTTATAACTCTGTAACCTCTCATATAACCTTTAATATACAGCATGAAGACATAGAACTTTTTTAAATAACAAATCAAATGTTGCCTTCCTAAGAACATTCTTTAATAAACTCATTTTAAAACGCAATGTGAGCAGTAACTGGTAGAACTATATAAAAATCCTAGAAAATGCACATTAATTTTGATGAAACCATCAGTGGGACCAAGCCAGATTCTGATTGAAATGGTACTTAAAAAAAAAAAAGACAATCTATTGGTCTTGTATCAGTGACTAGCTTTACACAGCATCCCATAATAAAAACAAAGCTATAACACTGTATGATACATACCTTAACACTTTCTTCACATTCTAGGAATCTTTAGTAAAGAATACAGCATTTCTAAAAAAAACAGGGGAAATGTCCAGCATAACATAGTTTAATTGGAATTTAGCAACCTATTGATGAATCTAGACCACCTATTTTTTGACCCAGGATTTTTGAAGAGGTTGAAAATCACATTTCCTGTCTGCTGAGGCTGGTAGTAACCTTCAGTGAAATACTCATAAACCTATTAAAATGTCAAATAGTTTTTTATGTCCCCAACGTTTGTTATAGAAGCATTGCTTACCTTCATTATTTGTGAGACCAAGTGCTTCTACAAAAATCCTCTCAGCAACCCTGGAAGAATTGTTCCCTTCATTACATTGTTAAATTTTTTTCTTAATTGCTATTACTCAAAATCTAGGTCTTTTTACCACAGCAACTCTCTCATGTAGTGGTGAGACATGTTCATAATGTAAATTTAACAAGGATTATAGAAATTTTCATTTCTAAAAGAAGAAATTATGATTTAAACTTTTCTCCTGTTAATAATCACTGAGATCTTAAAAGAAGTAGTAAACTGAGCTGTATGTCTGTAGGAACTTAAAAATCCTACAAATTATATCAGATTATGTTTGCAAAAGATTTAGAAGCTGCATTATTTTCCCTCATTAGAGAGTTTCCAAGATTGCCTTGACCTACTAGAGTGACGTGCCATTTTCTCAGTGTGCATGCACTCACCTCAGGTGTTGTGTGTCCCCGTGTTCAACTCATCTTTCCTACTCAACCATCACATCATCTGTGCCACTTAAATTTGAGAAACAAGTCAGAGCAATTATTTCCCTTTTGTCATCGGTTGTGCCGTTTCCTCCATGCCATCCCTTTCAAAATCAACATCTTGCCCATCTTAAAAAAAAAAAAAAACACTCAAGTCACATGTGAGTGTAATCCCTATTCATTTGTTTTGATCTTTTACAAGTGACACACTTGTCCAATTGAAAACCCAAGTGATCAAAAGCCATTCATGCTAGTAAGGTATTTTTGAAAGATATTTTGACTTCAGTGAGTCATGAAAAAACAACAAAGAACTTGGGCAGATTCCCGTATTCTTTGAGGTACTCATCTACGTAACTGGTATGGAACGTCGGTGGTTTCAGATTTACGTCTGTCAATCAAAACCATTTCTTGTACTTAAATTACGTACCATCCACACCTCTGCTTTTGCCTGAGCATGAGTGCAGAAGTCCTAGCCTGACATTTCCTTCATTGGATCTGATTAAGTACAGTCACTATGGCTCACATTTGCGTTATGGACTAGGTATTCTTCCTACAGTGGTACTCGGACTTCACTGGAATTCTAGAAAAGGGTCACTGAGACCACACCACCTGGTGTTCTCCCATCTGACCACAGGCTCCAGGGATAGCCTTATTTGCCTGCTTATGTGGAAAAAGAAAACCCATTAACTCTTCTGCAGGACTTAGCAGTGAAAGGTAATAAGCTTTACATAACCATGTAGTCAGTCCTCTCTAGCTGTGTGACTAAGTGCTATTTTAATACCTAACTTGTGAACAAATAATAGTCTCGGGGCTTAATGCCAAACTGGTTATTGATTGCTTTACTTGTTGCAAGCTATCTTTAAATTGGGGAGGAGAAGGGGGGAATATTTTCTCTCTTGGTAGACACACCAAAGAATCTTAGGGCGTTTTGCCTTCAGTGGGTCACAATTAAACATTAAGTAAAATTTTGAATTTTTTAAATATGTACATATATTAAATACTACACAGATGTCTTAATTGGGGAAGAAATTACCTGCAGCCAAGTTAGGAAATTTGGACTCAAGAAAAAGATACAAGTAAGGCAAAATGGAAAACAGAACTGACATGGTCAAATGTGAGCAGAAGCCTTAAAAGCAGCGTGGGGAATTTTTTTATGGGGCCTTTAATTATCTCAGTGAGGAGACACACATGAAGCAACACTGAAATATGCAAGCAAGATAAAAGAATCCATGCAGGGTGAAGAATTCTTTTGGCGTAAAAGAATAATTGTGGGGTGAGAGCACTCCTTATCAGGGAAATGCTACTGAAAAGACAACAGAGCCTGAAATTCACGTTGTTAGCATGGACATTTCTTAAAACCTACTGACAAGGATTCCACCATTTGGTCACATGACAAGATTCAGAAAAGTAGCATTTCCAAGACCAAAGTGCTCATTAGGAAGAATAAAATAAAATCCCACAAGCCACAAAATTTGAACACATGGAAATATAAGCTGTCCTTCATGGGATTGCTAGTTATTTAAGCATCTTTAAATATGTAAGTCAGTCCCTGCTGCTGCTCAGCTAGGAATGTACTGAATGCAGTTGTGGTTGCCAATCCTAGAGCCTGTGGTCAGATGGGAGAACACAAGGTGGTGTGGTCTCAGTGATCCTTTTCTAGCATTCCAGTGAAGTCTGAGTATCACTGTAGGAAGAATACCTAGTCCATAACACAAATGTGAGCCATATTGACTGTACTTAATCACATCCAATGGTGGCACAACAGGTTAAAACGCAGCACTAACAAGCTATCTGCAGCCACTTCAAGGTAAGTTTGATCCCTGGCCAGGGAGGTGACCCATATGGTATGGCAGGCCTCTCCTGACCTGCCCACAGCTCTCCTCAGCAATCTATTTCAGTACATCTGCCTGTTCTGCACCCCCTCCATCTCTAGTGAATCCTTTTAGCCCCCTACACTGGCCTGTACCCCAGTTCTGGTATGTATAAATCTTAGGAACCCAAATGATCAAAATCCATGCTTGCTATAAAGACAGTTTGAAAGAAACTTTTTTTACTTCAAAAATTAATGAGAGGGAAATACAGATAAAATTGACTATGTGCTGATGATTAAGAGTTGAAAAATGTCAGTGAGTCAACACACATATTTGAGTATGTGAAAATTTCTCAAAAGGTTTTTAAGAAATCTATGTCTGCTATGTGCAACATTTTGCCTAAAATGTTATATCTGGGTTGGTTTTCTCTGTGCATGCCACCTTAAATATGGCATGGAGGTCCCATGTAGTAGCCCCAAGCTCAGTGTTGGCTCTCCTCAACTATGACTTAACAGCTCTGCATGGTGCCCCCCAGATCCTCCAAAGGATTCCATATTAGGAGTCCTTTGGATTCTCCAAAGTATATCTCAAACATTTCTTATTGTCTGATTTTGTGATCCTGTAAAAGTGCTATTCCAGGGGAGACTGGCATCAAAATTCTTTTGTCCCTGAGCAGAGCTCTAATAATATTCTTTCCACTTTTGGAAATACACAGGTAACACTGATTCCTAAGGGACTAGACATTCATGTTGTTTGCTTTTCCCTCTCTGCTTTTTTGTATTCCACAATATGGATATTGAGTATCACAAAAGACCCCAAATAGCCAGAGCATCTTTAATAAAGAGCAAGTCCTTATTTAAAATTATTTTACAAAGTTATTCAAATTAAAACAGTATGGTGTTGACATGGAAACAAACAGTTCAATGGACTAGACTACTCTGTATTACAGAAACAAACCCATAGGTGTGTGGCCTATTAACTTATGTCAAAGGACCAAGAATATACAATAAGAAATGAATAGTAAATGGTGTAGGGAAACCAGTTGGCCATATGCAAAAAAAAAGGGGGAATTAAAGACTTGAACTAAAACCATAAAACTTACAGAACTTGATGAATTTTTGCCAAATTTAGGAGCACCTTTAGAGTGGACTGAGAAAGGTTGCAGAATCCTTTGGAGGATCTAGGAAGCATCACACAGAGATGGCAAGTCATTGTTCATATGGATCAGAAAAAGTCTTACTACTACAGCATGTGGGGGGGGGGAACCCTTACATGATAAGTTCCCTGACATTTTGGTGATAGTTTTTTAATTTGACACCCAAAGCGCAAGCCACGAGAGCAAAAATCAATTGTGATGCTATCAAACTAAAGCTGCACAGCAAAAAAAAAACTATAGTATGAAA